TTTTCCTGTAGCTGTTTCCCCACCTTAATGCTTGATGCTTGGCTTTGCCCTCAGTTGTACACCCTGCACCCATGGCAGCTGATGGCACAGGTATTGCTGTGTTTCTGATACTCTTTAGCTGTAGCTTCAATAGCTGCCCGTCGATTTCCCCTCCCGCCCTCCGCTCCTGCGTGACTGGTTGCTAATGGGCTTTCAAGGTGATATTGCATGACTTTGTCCTTTTCCTTGACCGCAGCTGGGCATTTCGGGCCAGCGTTCGCAGTTTGCTGGGGAAGCGCCGGGGGATTCTCTACAGCAGGGGTGTCCAAACTTTTTTCAAAGAGGGCCAGATTTGATGAAGTGAACATGCGTGAGGGCCGACCATTTTGCCTGACATTCTTTGAACCATTAAAATTAAATGCAAATTAACTATTTTATGCAAAGTTTATTGCAAACGGCAAACGACATAACACCAACTATACATGTTGTGTCCAAATATATTTATAACTGATTTAGACATTAACTGAGATTTTACAATGTAGTCATCTCAACTGAAAAAAAAAAACTTGCCTACACTAATGTGAAGGGTGAAACTGAGATCTGGACTGCAGCACATAGGCTAGGTCTGGTTCAAAGGCAGTCCCTGATCTCAGCAGCTGCGGAGTCCGTCCCTGATCTCAGCAGCTGCGGAGTCCGTCCCTGCACTCTCAGCCCCAAGGTAGAGGGCTTGCAGGGTCAGAGGCGGGCGGAGAGCGCAGGGCACGCTGGCCTCACGGCGGCCCGGGGGCAGGGCGAACCCGTAGCCAAGCGGGGGAGCGGGGCTGCGGACGTGCCCTACATGGAGGACTTTAGGACCGCAGCGGCCGCCATGGACGGTGGTGGCGCAGCCGGAGGCGGCGCCAGTCAGAGGAGCGCCGGGGAGCCAGGAGAGGGGGAGGAAGCGGGGGCTGTCCCTGCACTCTCAGCCCCAAAGCGGAGTGCAGGGGCAGGGTTTGGGACCGCGGCGGCGGCCCGAAGCGGCGCGCTGAGCGCGCCAGTTAAAAAAAGCACCGGGGAGCCGGGAGAAGCGGAGGGCCGTATTAAATCCGACCGCGGGCCGCATTTGGCCCGCGGGCCGGACTTTGGACATGCCTGCTCTACAGCAAAGTGAAATTGAAGTCAGTGCCTTGAAGCCTTGTATTACGGGGCAGAGCGAATCTACTGTAGCTCAGTGTGTCCTACCCCGAGGGATTCTGAACATGGGCTTGGGCCTCTTTTCCTCCTGAGGAATTGGAGTTTTGGGGGCACCCACTTATTTTCTTTTGAAGAGAGGAAGGCAGTGTGGCGAAATGGGCAGATCACTGGGCAAGGACTTGGGGGAGTTGGGTACAAGTCCATCTCTGCCACTGCCTGCCAAACCAGGTTGGATAAAATACCCTGCCTCCCTGTGCCTCAGTTTCCCCATCTGGACTAATGATGTAGACATCCTTTGTAAAGTGCTTTGAAATCTAAAGGAGGGCTCCATATCTTCATTATTATAACAGCACATTGGAACCCCCCCTGCCGTGGAAGGTGTTACCCAGAAACTACTTCTAGTCCATTTTAATGCTGCTCTAAGGGGAGGGATGAGCTGGTGCTCCTGCGTGGAGACTTAGATGATCTAAGTGCTACTCCCTGCTCTGCCACAGGCTGCCAGTGTGATGTTGAGCAAGTCACTTCACTGCTTTTTGCCTCAGTTTCCCCCCACCCTTTGTTTTGTCAGCTCGTTAGGGCAGAAACAGTCTCCTGTTATGTGTACAGCATCTAGCACAAGGGGGATCTTGATTGGAGCCACTAATGGATACTACAGCCTTTGAGCTCCTCCCCAGCTAAGCTCTGTTCTTTGTGATTCAGAGCATTTATCTGAGGCCAAGCCCAAGCCATGTCACTTGTGGGCAACAGCCCTCATCACTTAACCGCAATTCTGGGCCCTGGATTCAAGGAGTTGGTGGTGTCATGCAATGTTCCCTTTAATGTTTTCCATCCACGTGCAGAATAAATTTTATGATGTGCACCAAGGCATGTGTGGCTGTGTACCACCAGTAGAAACACCTGGTGCCATCTGCTGCCAGCTGGGGTTCTCTGACAATCCACTGGGTGGCATTTGAATCTCTCCTGGGTGGCTGCCCAACTGCTCAGCTTACATGGAACCCTGCTGTCACCTCCTGGAATCCCCCTCGCTAACCATTAGGGAATTCCAGCAGTGAGGCCAAGGACCTGAACAGGCTGTGGAGACTTAGCTCCCCTCTCTCTCTCTCTTTGCTGGTCCCTTTGGGGCACTGTTGGGGCACATAGGTGAGACTGCACGGAGTGTTTGCAATGCTCCTGCTGGTCTCTGTGGCTCTAATACTGCTTCCATTGACATCAGTGGTGCTGGACGTTTTCACCAGCCTTTCAAAACGTCCAGCAGTGGAGACGTTGGGGTCCTGAGATGCCTTGGCAGAATTTGGGGTATGGTCTCCTGCAGCGTATGGCTGCATTAAGCCCTTGCTGGCAAGCCAGCTGTAAGAACTGTTCTAATGACTCACAGGCCTACATGAATAGAGAGTTGATTAACACAATGGCCCAATATGAGGATTAATTAGTGTGATCTGCAGTCAGGAGCGAATCGATGGGGATGTGATTTGAGTGCAGTATAACCCTTTCCTGACAGCTTCCCAGAGGGAGTGCAGATGTCTTCATTGAAATCTGGAAATCTGAAATCTGAGAGTGACTCATTCTCAGTGCTCTCTCTGTGTTGTCTCTATTGATCAGGACCACTTCAGGGAGCAAACTATGTAGCCAGCCTAGAGCTCAGCAGCCAGCTAGGCTGGCGGGGTGTTGTATTGCGAGCTACACTTGTGGGGTATGATATTGCCATGAGCTACACTGTCAAGGTGTGATACTGAAGTGAGCTATGCTTGTTAGGTAGAGACATGCAGGGAGCTGTGCGGGTGAGGTGCAGTGACGAGGGGAACTAGGCTGGTGGAGTGCGGTACCGAGGGGAGATACGCTGGCAGGGTATGATGCCGAGGGAAGCTGGCAGTGTGTGGTGCCAAGGGGAGCCATGCTGGTGGGGTGTGGTACTGCAGGCAAATCTATTGGCTGTATGGTCCTGCACTGATGGAGCTGACAGGTTACTGCATTGCAGTGAGCGATGCTGTAGGTGGGGTGGGAACTAATTTTTGAAGGGGGACCACTTTGCAAATTTCAAAACAAGTGACAATTCCTTCTAGTACAGTGTGCCTTTGGTGGCGGGAGGAGACTTGGTGCGCTCTCCTGCTCCCGGGCCAATCGGGGCGGGGTGTGATACTGAGGAGGGCTGTGCTGGTGGGGTGTGATACCGAGGGATCTGGGGGCGTGGGAGCGCACAAAGTCTCTTGTCTCCTACCCCCCTACCCCTGTCCTGCAAGGGGCGCGTGGTGCCTAGAGTGAACCGCCAGTTCTGAACAGCTGGTGGTTCCCTCTGGTGCTACGCCCCCCTGGTGTGGGGAGGACACTTCACATGCTCCCCCGTCCCCAGGTCTCATTGGCCTGGAGGTGGGGGAGCAGCAGAGCGTGTGGTACTGAGGGCAGCTACATGCTCTGGAGGGTCAGATCCAGCCCATGGAGGCTCTCTTGCCCTTCCCTGCTCTGTGGGCATAGTACAGCCATGATGTAAGCTGGTGGGGTATGATACTGCAGCAAGCTACGGGGGTGTTGTACTGAGTCTGGCGGGGCATGGTATTGCAGCAAGCTATGCTTGCGGAGCATGGTACCGAAGGCATCACTAATATATCGGCCAAGGGGAGTAGCACTGAAGTAGTATGCACCTGATTCTGCTCCCAATGGCAGCAAAGCCCATGGAATTACACTGGATGCTGGGGGCTTCGGTGTCTGTTCAGTGAGTACAGATCCTCTATGCCGAGTGCACAAGTCAAATCCGCCTGCGCTACAATCTCTGGCCAGGGTCTGAACTCCAAACGCACCTCCTCTGACATCAGCGTTGCCCCCCTGTTGGATTTGCATTTGGATTTGAGCTGACAGTTGTGCAGATGATGAACAGGCAACGCCTGTCTCTGCTGTAGCTGTGCTGGTCCTTCAGGGCTGACGGCAGTCTGCGCTGGGGGAGCTCACCCGGGCAAGTCTGCCTGTTGGCCAGACTTAGCCCTTCGTTTGGGCATGGCTTATCTGACAGCATACACAACAGTGCCTCAGTCAGTGGGGGTGACAGGCTCACCAGGCCCCTGGCAAGGTGTCCTAGGGCCTGCTCTGTGGCCTCTGAAGGGGTGGAGACTCAGGCATAAGGGGTGGGGCTGGGGCTAGGCAGCTCTCAGTGCTGCCGGCAGTGCGTGGATTTTAAGGGCCAGGGTTCCAGCTGCCAGCACTGCTGCAGTAGTGGGGGCAGCTCCGTCTGTTGCCCCCTTTGCTGCCCTCCTGCCATTGGCAGGCCTGCCTCGGCCTATGCTTTCTCCCCTCCCTTGGCTGTCCCTTGCAGAGTCCCTATAGTCCCCACTTCTTTAATACCCAGTGAGTTAATAAACTGACCCTAGCACCTCCTAACAGGGTGGCTCATGAGGTGAATTCTGTCACTCCGTTGCTGTCAGCAATGTGCACACATAGGAGTCAGGCCCAGAGGGCCCGATTCTCCTCCACTGTAACTCAGCAGAGGCCCCACTTACGTCAACAGGGTCACACCAGAATCATGCCCGGGGGACCTAAGAAGGTGCCACTTTTGTTTTGTTTTGTTTTGTTTTTTTGCAGCCACCCATGTCAATGTAACTGCACTTCAGCTTGTTTGTGTAACCTGCTGCAGGCCCTGTAGGCCAGGCAGGAGGGTTGGCAGGGTTCTTTGCCCTGCCTCTAACGCCACCATCATTGGCCAGCAGCAGAGGAGGGATGCTGGCCTAGGAGAACCATTGAAGCAGACCCCACATTGCTAGCCAGCTCCGTGACATGCAAATGTCCCCTGCATTAGTGCTGGGCGGGGGGGAGTTTCTTTTCCATCCCAAGTGAATCCTGTGACTCTTCCCCCACCGCTACAGGTCATCCCGGACTGGAAGGAGCAGGAGTGGAATGCTGAAAAGCCAGAGAACTACGCTGGGATCTTTCACTTCCAGTTCTGGCGATTCGGCGACTGGGTGGACGTGGTGATAGACGACCGCCTGCCGACGCTCCACAACCAGCTCATCTACTGCCACTCCAACTCCAAGAACGAGTTCTGGTGTGCGCTGGTGGAGAAGGCCTATGCCAAGTAGGTACATGAGCAGGAACCACTGAGGCTGAGCTCTGTGTCTGTGTGCCTGGTGCTCTGTGTCAGCAGCTCTGTGGGAGGCAGTGTGGCCTAGTGGACAGAGCGCTGGACTGGGACTTAGACCCCCTAGCATCGCAACCAGAGGTCCCGTTGGGGACAGGCACTGAACGAAGACAAAAGGAGACAGACCTTGCAATGGGAAGTGGAAGCAAACAACTCTGGTGAAGGATTGGCCCAGCTTTGTTAGCTACGTGTTTTGGATTTGGTTTTGTATTCTAGCTGGGGGGAGAGATGAGGAAGAGGGACAGCCACTATTTAAAGCTGCTTGTTCCCCCGTTTCATACACAGACCAGTGGGCCTGACCCTGACAAAGCCCAGCCTGGGGAACATTATTGGACATGCCCCGGTATGATACTCAAACCTCCTTCTAGAGTCCCGTGACTTCTGCTCACCTCCATGCGTGTTGTCTTTGTTCCTCCCCTCTTCTAGGCTGTCTGGGTGCTATGAGGCCCTAGATGGAGGCAACACAGCTGACGCACTGGTCGATTTTACCGGCGGCGTGTCTGAGCCCATCGACCTGATCGAAGGGAACTATGTTAACGACGAAGCCAAACGCAATCTCCTCTTTGAGCGAGTGTTGAAGGTCTACAACCGGGGAGGCCTCATCAGCTGCTCCATCAAAGTAAGAAGTGCACTGCTGCTGGGTTTGTCTGGTGGCCGTGCTGAGGGGCCCCAGTCTGGGATCAGCACAGTGAAAGGAAGGTCTCTGCCCCCAAAGAGTTTACAATCCAGGCAGATAGAGGTCACCGAGGCAACAGCTGGGCTTCTATGGGGAGATCAGAATCTGGCCCCTTTGTGACGCAGACACTTCAGGGAGAGTTTTATTTTTGGATTCATGGCGCTCTGAAAGTGCGGGGAGAGCGAGGCTCCAATTCACGAGAAATGAGTGGGGGAAGGAGGCAGATAAGGGGTATGCAGGCTGTATGCGGCCTACTGAGATCGATGAAGGAGAGTCACTTATGCAGCCCACTTATTAAGTGCGTATTGCCCATCTCTGCTCTTGAACCCCTCTTCCCCACTCTTTTGCAAGCCAATGCTTGTGCCCTACAGTGTGTTCTCCAGCCTCGTATCATGGCCGGACTGCGTCAGCATTACCTCCTCACCAGCATGCGTCTCCCTTCGCTCACTTTCCTATGCAGGGCATTCTGCTTTCGCACTCCCTTCCTGCTGGAGCTGTGGGTCTGTGACAATCGTAACGGGGCAGCTGTCCCACCTGGGATCCACATGCAGTGCAGAAGGGACTCCCAGCTGCTTCTGTGGCGCCAGCTTTCCCCATGGGGTTCCACAGATTGGGGCACCCTAGGTTTGGGATCTGCACAGGGAGAGAGGAAGAGCAGGGGCAGGACTAAGGAAGTAAAATCACACTCACTCCTCCAGCCACACACAGCCTGCTATGAAAACTTATAGCCTTCAGCTGTGCTGCTTCCAAGCTGGGGGAAAATCTTTGGTGGGGTGAGGTGGTCTGGGATGGCAGTCACAGACAGGGAGACATGCTAATGCAAGTCCCAGAGAAAGTTCAGAGGCCTCTTGCCTTCTGGAGACCCTCCAGAGCTGGGGGATCTTCAGCTGGGGTTCAGAAGACAAAAAGTCTGTGGGGATGTGAACTTCCAGCTGCTTCTTTACCAAGACGTAAATTTCTCACTCACACCTTTTTTCCTGCCAAAGAAGGGCTACATGAGCATCTGGTTTTCTTCACGCTTGTCTGAGGCATTGGTTTGCCATTTGTCTTTGAGTAAATAGTCTGTACCTGCTTTTCTAAACTTGGAATATGTCTCAATAGTGTTATACAATGGAATCTTACAATGTTAGATACAGTGTTGCTACATGTATTTTGCCTGGACAATAACGATCAGCAAATTATGAGTTTTCATATGATACTGCACAAGACATACTTTGTACAAAACCCATCCTAGTGTTGTAAGAAGAGTGAACATAGGGATGAGGACTTTCACAGGAATATAACTTTCCTGGAGATGAAAGCCCTGACCCTGGATTTTAGCTTTGTGTTTCCCTGGCTAGGCCACCACAGCAGCTGACATGGAAGCCCGCCTGGACTGTGGCCTTGTCAAAGGACATGCCTACGCTGTGACAGACGTCCGGAAAGTCCGCTTGGGCCACGGCCTGCTGGCCTTCTTCAAATCGGAGAAGCTGGATATGATCCGGATGCGGAACCCCTGGGGGGAGAGGGAGTGGAACGGCCCGTGGAGTGACACGTGAGTAAGGCTAGGGCAAGGCTGCCTGGAGGGGGTTGCCAGATTTCCGTTTAGAGGCAAATTTTACCTACCCACCAATGATCCTCAGCTGAGATCCTGTGTGTTTTTGGTGGGTGTGTGAAGACGAGGGCCACTATGGGCAGATTGAGGGGAAGGGAGGCTAGAGCTGGTGAAACGTGGGGCCCTGCACCGTATGCAAATGTTTGTGGTGCCATGAAATGTCTCAGCCCAGCAACAGGCAGTTTGGCTTCTCCAGTACCCTCATATACAGGCCTTTTCCTGAGGAGGCCGGGTGTTGGGAATAATTCTGGACACACTGGGTGCAGGTGAAAACATGCAGAGGATTTATTGGTTCACACAGCTGCTGGATTGGAGGCAACACAGCTGACGCACTGGTCGATTTTACCGGCGGCGTGTCTGAGCCCATCGACCTGATCGAAGGGAACTATGTTAACGACGAAGCCAAACGCAATCTCCTCTTTGAGCGAGTGTTGAAGGTCTACAACCGGGGAGGCCTCATCAGCTGCTCCATCAAAGTAAGAAGTGCACTGCTGCTGGGTTTGTCTGGTGGCCGTGCTGAGGGGCCCCAGTCTGGGATCAGCACAGTGAAAGGAAGGTCTCTGCCCCCAAAGAGTTTACAATCCAGGCAGATAGAGGTCACCGAGGCAACAGCTGGGCTTCTATGGGGAGATCAGAATCTGGCCCCTTTGTGACGCAGACACTTCAGGGAGAGTTTTATTTTTGGATTCATGGCGCTCTGAAAGTGCGGGGAGAGCGAGGCTCCAATTCACGAGAAATGAGTGGGGGAAGGAGGCAGATAAGGGGTATGCAGGCTGTATGCGGCCTACTGAGATCGATGAAGGAGAGTCACTTATGCAGCCCACTTATTAAGTGCGTATTGCCCATCTCTGCTCTTGAACCCCTCTTCCCCACTCTTTTGCAAGCCAATGCTTGTGCCCTACAGTGTGTTCTCCAGCCTCGTATCATGGCCGGACTGCGTCAGCATTACCTCCTCACCAGCATGCGTCTCCCTTCGCTCACTTTCCTATGCAGGGCATTCTGCTTTCGCACTCCCTTCCTGCTGGAGCTGTGGGTCTGTGACAATCGTAACGGGGCAGCTGTCCCACCTGGGATCCACATGCAGTGCAGAAGGGACTCCCAGCTGCTTCTGTGGCGCCAGCTTTCCCCATGGGGTTCCACAGATTGGGGCACCCTAGGTTTGGGATCTGCACAGGGAGAGAGGAAGAGCAGGGGCAGGACTAAGGAAGTAAAATCACACTCACTCCTCCAGCCACACACAGCCTGCTATGAAAACTTATAGCCTTCAGCTGTGCTGCTTCCAAGCTGGGGGAAAATCTTTGGTGGGGTGAGGTGGTCTGGGATGGCAGTCACAGACAGGGAGACATGCTAATGCAAGTCCCAGAGAAAGTTCAGAGGCCTCTTGCCTTCTGGAGACCCTCCAGAGCTGGGGGATCTTCAGCTGGGGTTCAGAAGACAAAAAGTCTGTGGGGATGTGAACTTCCAGCTGCTTCTTTACCAAGACGTAAATTTCTCACTCACACCTTTTTTCCTGCCAAAGAAGGGCTACATGAGCATCTGGTTTTCTTCACGCTTGTCTGAGGCATTGGTTTGCCATTTGTCTTTGAGTAAATAGTCTGTACCTGCTTTTCTAAACTTGGAATATGTCTCAATAGTGTTATACAATGGAATCTTACAATGTTAGATACAGTGTTGCTACATGTATTTTGCCTGGACAATAACGATCAGCAAATTATGAGTTTTCATATGATACTGCACAAGACATACTTTGTACAAAACCCATCCTAGTGTTGTAAGAAGAGTGAACATAGGGATGAGGACTTTCACAGGAATATAACTTTCCTGGAGATGAAAGCCCTGACCCTGGATTTTAGCTTTGTGTTTCCCTGGCTAGGCCACCACAGCAGCTGACATGGAAGCCCGCCTGGACTGTGGCCTTGTCAAAGGACATGCCTACGCTGTGACAGACGTCCGGAAAGTCCGCTTGGGCCACGGCCTGCTGGCCTTCTTCAAATCGGAGAAGCTGGATATGATCCGGATGCGGAACCCCTGGGGGGAGAGGGAGTGGAACGGCCCGTGGAGTGACACGTGAGTAAGGCTAGGGCAAGGCTGCCTGGAGGGGGTTGCCAGATTTCCGTTTAGAGGCAAATTTTACCTACCCACCAATGATCCTCAGCTGAGATCCTGTGTGTTTTTGGTGGGTGTGTGAAGACGAGGGCCACTATGGGCAGATTGAGGGGAAGGGAGGCTAGAGCTGGTGAAACGTGGGGCCCTGCACCGTATGCAAATGTTTGTGGTGCCATGAAATGTCTCAGCCCAGCAACAGGCAGTTTGGCTTCTCCAGTACCCTCATATACAGGCCTTTTCCTGAGGAGGCCGGGTGTTGGGAATAATTCTGGACACACTGGGTGCAGGTGAAAACATGCAGAGGATTTATTGGTTCACACAGCTGCTGGATTACCCATCAGGAGTTAACCTGGTGAGCACTAACTTAACCAAAACATACATTAGATTATATAGGTAGCAGATGGACGGAGGAGAAGTGATTTGATAGGTCTAGCAGCGGAAGTGAGATATGCACGTGAGCCAATGGTCTATGACAGTTACACAACATCTCCGCCCATTGCCAATTCAACATGTTATCACTAATACAGATAGTTATTCCTAACGAGCTAAATAAGCCAACATAAACAAAGGCATGTTGATGGTCATTTTGTCGGCTGGGAATATAATGCGTCTCCTGCGGGGGTGGTATTGCCTTGGCGCGATCTTTGGGATCCAAGCTTATTTTCCAGGAACAAAGCAGACAATGAAAAACAATCCCGCGCGGTTGTTTGGTACTGGCCTTATCAAAGTGAGGCCCTTTTGGAATGTGGTTGTGACGGACCGGGCCGTGTCTGGGCACAGCTGAGGGCGTCCGCTCAGGGCGAATTGCTCGAATCCGGGGCTTCTTACAGCCCCCGACTGGTGACCTTTCCACACAGGCCACAAACCAGTCCCACAGAGCGCTTCAGCTGCCTGCCTGAAGCCTCCCGAGCAAAACCCCTCCGACACCCCAGCAATATCCGTGCCCCAGATGGCCCCGGGCCTATACACAGGTGGGGGGTCCTAGCACCCAAATCCCACCTACCCCGAACAAGTTCTGTCCGGTTCCAAGAA